CCGATTCGTGCTAAAACCAATAACAGAGTTAACAAAGAAACTTGCCAGGGGAGGGAGGCCTTGGGCTGCATGTCCTTTCCATAAATGCCAGGTGGATTTTACTGAAATGCCCTGAGTGACAAGATTTAAATATCTTTTGGTAATAGTATATCAGTTAACAAGGTGGCCAGAAGCATTTCCAGCTGTTTCAGCAACTACAGGATCAGTTATTAAAATATTTTTTGGTACAAATAATTCAAAGATATGGGATTGTGGAAGCAGTAGGCTCAGACAGGGGAACTCATTTTACAGGAAAAGTTCTTCAAGGAGTTATGACTGCTTTAGGGATACAAGGGATACAATGGAACCTCCATCCTCCTAGAATCCTGAACTCCTCCCAGAGTTCAGGCCGGGTTGAAAGGATGAACAGGGAAATAAAGAAACACCTTCTGAAGCTGGTGATAGAAACTAGGATGTCGTGGGTGCGGGTCTTGCCACTAGCTTTGGCAAGGATAAGGGCCAGACCCAGGGGGGATATTCAACTATCTCCCTTTGAATTGATGTTTGGAATTCTGTATCCTTGTAATTCTCAGCCTGGGAGAGGGGGTAGAGATAAGTGATGTATATTTAAAACAATATATGGCCCAAATACTGTCTCTTGTAAAATCTCTTTGACAGGAAGCTCAGCTGGCACAGACCCTGCCTTTGGACTAAGCTGTTCACAACATCCAACAGGGAATTGGGTCCTAGTTAAGGAGTAGAAAGAAGCACCACTGGTGGCTAAGTGGCGTGGACCTTTCCAGGTGTTGCTAACCACAGAAACGGCCGTCAAGACAGCTGAACACGGGTCAAGGTCTCTGAGGCCCCAGAGGATTGGACATCTCATCTGGAGGAGAAGGATGGGAAGCTGTGACTGGCACTCTGCAGGAGTGGACTGGAGCAGTAGCTGTGCGTTGACACTGGGGGAAGCCCCGAGTGCCTACCCACAGACTGCCTGCTGAAATAGTCTGTATGGGCATCCCTACTCTCAGATCTCCAGACACCGGGGGCCAATCCATGCTGTCATTGCTTTCTGTATGCTAAGCTGTTTCTGTGCCTTCACTCACCACAGAAGGTGCGAAAGACAACGTGAAAGTGAAAATTAGGTTAAGAAATTATTTTATTAAAGTATTAGAATGTTTCTCTTAATAATCTTATCTTTATATTGTCAGTTAGGTTAAAGCTAAAAGTGGAAAAGTAATTTTTTAACCTTAAGAGAAGAAGTAGCAAAAACCTTTAACCTTAGCAATTGTTGGGTCTGTGGAGAGCCAGAGGGATCTGAAAACTGGCCATGGGTGGCCAGCCCAGCTGAGCCTAAATGGTGGGTTAGCACCCTGAGTGAGGTCCATAATGGAACAGGATTTTGGGACGAAGAAGGAAGTCCATGGCAGCTTCATTCTTCTGAAAGAGGCGTATATTGTCTAAATAGAACAAGTAGCATATATGTGGGAAAAAGGGTTTGTGACTGGACTTTATCTGTGGGTTTAGACTGTTGGACACCCAACTGCCCTCCTTATGATTGTTCCAGATAGGTATCAAATAGATAGATAGAATCAACAACACGTTAATGATAATTTGATAGAATCAAATGCATGTTAAGCTCACTAATGGTAGCTGAGTAAAGTGTTCCTTCCATAGTTACCCAAAGGATTTAAAGGCTGTAAAACAGTGGGGAAAGATAAGTATTTTGGTTTTGTTTTATTGACCTCTTATTTTTAAGCTGTCCCCGAGACAATTCCACAAGTAAGACATGTTATCTGAGATATAACTGCAAGCAGAAATCTTTTGTGGGAGCTTGAAAATGCAAATACTGTGATTCTTATGGCAAAGTATCTATTGCTGGGCAACCACTAGGCCCCGAAAGCAAGCTGTATTTTGATCTACCAACTGATGATGAGAATTGGAAAGGTCCTTTTGCCAATGAGACCTGGGCTTTAAAGGGGTATTAATGGATCTGTAGCCAATATGCTTAACACAGGTTACCCCCAAACTGGTCAGAGATATGTTATGTGGGGTGTATTAGACCATTGTTCTTTCTGCTACTGCAAGTTCAGGGAAATCAGGAGTCAAAATATATGAGAAAAGCAGTCGATGCATCACTGGCTGGAGGGAGCACCCAAAAGTGGGACAAAGATGAATGACCACCTGAATGAATATTAGGTGCCAGAGAACCCATTTATAATTTAAATTGGATAATTAGGTTGCAAGCTGTCTTTGAAATAATAATCAACCAGACAGCTACAGCTCTTGACTTTCTTGCTGACCAGTCTACTCAGATGAGAAATGCAGTATTTCAACATTGGATGGTATTAGACTATCTATTAGCAGAAGAGGGAGTATGTGGCACATTAAAGGACTCAAACTGCTGTTTGCAAATAGAATACGATAGAAAAGTGGTGAAACAGATAACAAAAAGAATAAGAAAGTTAGCTCATGTACCAGTCCAAACAGAAAATATAGGAACAGGACATGTTTTCATGGTTACCTGGTAGACTATGGGTTAATCAAATGCTTTTTTACATCTTCTGTGTTGTAGCAACTCTAGTCTTTTTACCACGTGTGATACCTTGCTTAGTACAATTCATTCAACATGTGATGAAAGGGATGCAGGAAGTAGCCATGCCTACTGATCCAGAGATGGTTACAAAAAGTGATGCCACTGCAAATAATTGCAAGACCAAAAAGGACACAGGAACAAGAAACAAAGTCAATGATAACTAAAGTTTGTAAAGACATTTATTAAAAAAATTATAAGAGGAGGGATTAAGAGGAATGATGGGTTTATCTTTACAAACAAGCTGTGGGTCTGCTGGTAAGATGAAACTATCACTGAGAGATAACAGAAACAATGAGATGGATTCCACTGAAAGAGGAAAGAGATGCTGGAGAAACACCATAAAATTCCACAAGAGTTAAGAATTAAGAAGGGGATTATGCATTGGGGGTGGGTGGTCTCAGATATCAGGCATCCTGGGAAGTCTGTTCCCTCAGCCTATGGGGAAAGAGAGAAGGGACAAGCGGCCGGGAATTAGGATAAAAAGCAGGCTATGCCCTCCGAAAATTTGAGAGACCCCAGGGGAATGCCCCATGGCCTCTCCCTTTATTCAAATAAAGTAAAAGGACTCCTCTGTCTCCTTTCTGGACATAAACCTCTGGTGTCTGTGGATTAATTTTCCCAACAGTGACAAAAATGCTGAGCAGAACACTTGGTTGGGAGACTGCAGAGGCACCAGTTTGCCAGAGAGAAGACAGGGGACTTGAACAGGGCATATGAATAGCTGCAGGGGATAAAATACTGGGACCTGTAAGACTTTTTAGTCTGTCAGAGTCACAGTAAGATTGCAAAGTCAGGAAACAGGCCAGACAAATACAACTGAAGTGCCATTTAATTGTGTAGGCAATTATCTACTGATTGAACCAGTGAAGAGTACTGGGTGCAACAGCTCTCAGCTTTATGTTAATACAATCTTCTCTTTTGCAAGAGGCCCTAAAAATGTCTTTGTCCAAGTCTCACTGATAAGAATTCCCCTTAAGTTTCTTTGCAAGCCCTACCCAGAATACTTTACATATTTGTTAGCTGATACTACTGCAATTTGCTAAATACAAGGGGCTTCCTGGGTCACTGAATCCAGTTTAAAACTGCAGGTACCAAGCTGATTCTTGTTACCTTTCCAGTAGTATTTCCTAATAAAAAATACTTTATGATGTATTTTTTGAGAAAGAAAAAAAAAAAAGCCCTACTGGGAACTGCAGTGAAATACACAGTGTTAAAACTAGAGTTTCTAAAAGCAAAAGCAAAGCAATTTGTTTTGTTTAGGCTTCTATAGCAAAAGCCTCTAAAGCTATCACATCTTGGGTTTTTAAGTATAAGAGCCAAAGCACACCTTGGGATCCAAATGCAGTCCAAATGGCTGAACTAGATGTCTGTTTTCCAAGGTACTCTCTACAGTCTCAGGCTTGCAAGAGTAAATCTTCCTCAGTCATAATTGTTCAGTGTGGATTTGATCAGCTTCATGTGGACTACTCATGGGTATAAAGATTACTCACGTGAGAGGTACATGACTGAATCTTTAGCTAAAGACACTAAAGCCTAAGGAAATTAATGATTTGAATCTGTAATAGAGCACTGCTTCTATGTAAATATCTTGATTTTTGTGTTTGGCTTGCTGCTCATTAGCTAAACCAACAAGAATTACTAATAACCCCTCAAGGACAACTTGTACATAGGTCTGCACCATTCTATACATACACTTCTGGTGTTTCTAAAGCTTATGTAAATGCATACAGAAATTGAGGAACAACTCAGGCTACATCACCCTGCTGTCTTGACTGCTGCCATCAAGCATGTCCTTCCTGTGGACATTATTGGCAAAGGATCTTGGTATAATATTCCGAAGACACTCTACACTGGTACCTTGACTCAGGCAATAACCTAAGGGTGTGGGAAGGAAGAAAACCCAACTCAGTAGCTTCCACACTTTCTGAACTTTACCTTTCAGTGGAGCAGCAGATGGAAGGGAGGAAACAGGGAACATAGCATTGTGTGAAAGCAGACTTACTAGGCCAAGGGAAGTGAGACAGTTACTACATCCTTCCTTTCCTCTCTTGCCCAGTTAGCATCAGGCTGTGCAACCAGCATGCAACTACAGCATATGAGTTTGGCGCTGTGCCTTTCCTTGGCTTATTCCCTTCAGGACTGTGTCAACCCTACACATTCCTGGGTGGTGCCAACTACTGCAAACTGTGAACAACAGCAGATAAAAGCTCAGCACTACTGGGGAGAAAGAAAATCTGTCCTACATTCTGGACATCCAAATATGGATAGAAATGTTTAGACATTTGGTTCAGAAACTCATGGTTCCAACTGCTTCTTCAATATTAAAACATTGAGGTTTTGTTGTGGTTTTTTTAAATTATTTTAAAAATAACGGCTATTAAAATCTTCCCTCTTTTTTTAAATCACTGCTAGAAATACTACTTACCTTTTAAATGATACTGTTTATCACCCATCTTGCAAAATCACTCAAGTATCTAGAAAATTAAAAAAGATAACTATGTTGCCAATAACACATCTAAACTTGCTACAGTGGAGAAAGCCTACCTGTGCTGTAGAACATCATATACCATCTGCCACATCTGCAACATATGCCTGCATGTCACCAGAGCCTCTTCAGGACCTTTGTGTATCGATTCCAGTTTTACTTTCGTGAAGAGTAAACTGCAAGATGAAAAAGAATAACTCCTATTTTATTGGCATCTCCTAAAAGTAGAGAATCAGTATCCCTCTGTCGAGATCCTGGCAGGCAGCATTTTTACCCGCTTTGTACATGCAGTAATAAAACACCATAGCACAAAACATTTCATTTAGCTCAACTTTGATTGCCTACAAAGAGAGAAGAGAATCAACAGTATACCTCAGCTGTATACCTCAAATTTGCATCACAAAGCAGGCAGGACAGTGCTAAAAGCAAAGCACTGCAAAGCTAACAAGGTGACACATATACTGAATCTCATTTTATTTTGGACAGTATTAAAAACAGGAGAAAAAAGAATTTCCCTAATACATATGCCCAGGCTGTTTTCTTAGTCTGGCATCTTCTTATAGCACTGGCTTATATAATAAATTTCAGCACACTTAACATAAATAATATGATATGTAATGCCTCACAGGAAAGAAATGCTTTTTCTTAACCCCACCTGGCAATCAACTCACACCTCTAGGTAGAATAGCCAATAGCCTTGTACATTCTTGTTCTAGGTAGTGTAACTGCTGCTACTATTCTTATACCTAGAGAAGACAGTACTTGCACAGACCACTGGAATTCAGCAGAATTAGGTCACACAGAGGTTAGAAGACAGATTTGGCAATGCCACAACCTACCACTTGCTGCCAGCATGGCTTTTAATGCCATCCTTCACTACACCTATATTATGTTAATTTTGAAGATTATTTTATTTATTTCTTTTATACTAATGCAATCTTTTCCGCTTTAAATGTTTTCATGAAGTCCAATATCAACACAATTAAAATTAACTTAACATGTCTAGCAATTAATCCACTGGAAGCACATATGCATACCTACATGCATACAACAGCAGAATGTTAAAAATCCTAAAAACAGTTTTGCGAATGTGACCTGCAGGCTCCTGAGTAATCCAGACTACTTCAGAAAGAGACAAGAGCAACTGCATATATGATGTTAGAGAAGAATTTACAGCTGAGTAAGAAATCCTTCACTTGGAATAATTATAGCTCTATTGCCAAGACTGTGGTGCATATCTATAGGAACATGCTTAAACGGCAGTTCCATTTGGCACTAGCAAACATTAGGGTAGGAATTTTTGGGTTGGGTTTCTTGTTTGTTTTTCTTTGGGGGGTGAGGATGGTGACCAAAATGTAGCCCAACCGTATCAGCTGCTATTATGAAGTCTGCTAATGGCTGCTGCTATGATATGACCTGGTAGAGGCAAGCATTCCACTAAATTCCTCAGGTACAAACTTTGACTAGGAAAGACAGATCAAGATTCATAATCAACAGAATTAGTCTTTACCTTTACCATTTTACATCCCTACTTTGTATCTTTGATTTTCTTGTTACTGGTGTGAGCCAAACAAATACTGTAAGAACATCATCTGCTCTTAGAGATGCTGACCCCCTGAGAGGAAATGCCTTTATGATTCAAGTATTTGAAGCTAAAACACAGACTCGTCAAAATTTTGCTGGAACAAAGATGTTACAGTGGATGGATGCACTGTTAATAAAAATAAGTCTGAATTTAAAGGAGTGGTTGGCAATAAAACTGGCCAGTGATGCCTGCTGCTCTGTGTTCCCAATGAACTGGGCTCATAAAAACAAAGCTTGTTTCAATGCCACAGAATATAGAATCAATCACTTGGGTATAAGGAATACATATCACACTAGAAAGATGGGAAGTTACACCCTGGAGTGAAATGGTATTAAAAAAAGACATGAAGTTCCTGAAGAACAATGCAGTTAAAAGGTCAAACAACCCTTAGCATCTGTATGCAGAAATGTAATCAAGTAGGAGCTGGAAGATGTGGCTTTTCTTGATCAGAGCATCAGCAAGGCACTTACTACAATCCTGTTTCTAGATTCCAAAAGATGACTAAAAATGGGATATGGTTCAGAAAATGGTTATGCAAGTGATCTGAGGGCTAGAAAAATGCATTTCATCAGAGGCTTGAGCAGCTCAGTTTATTCACTTTCACCAAGAAGCAGCAAAGAAATTGTTTTGTCCCAGCCTGAAAATACCTACATCAAGTCTCTCATTGTGAGTCTTTGATAAAAAAGAAAAGATACAGAGAATCTAAGAATTTTTTGGAAGCTGGAACTAGTCAAATGGAAATGTATCAGTAAATGCATTCACATAACTATCAAGGAAAATAACCTTTGCAGCAATTACCTTGTGCAAACAGTAAATTCTGTAGTCATTAAAGCCTTTTCAGTAAGACAGGATAACATCTGGAAAGCAATCGTAGCGTACAAATAGAAGCTGCGGGTTTGATGCATAGGCTCATGACTGAGTTTCTTTGGGCTGCACTGTGCAGAGGGGTAAGACTGCATCACCATCCTTCTGGAAGTTACTCTATTAAAATTATTCTTCTAGTCCCAGAAACAAGCACATTGAGCAACCTATGCTATTTTAAGCATATAGTGTCACACTATATTAGGAAAGGCGAAGCAGTACAACATGACTCTCTTAGCTGTATTGTCCAAGAGAGCAAAGTTTATTATTCTTGATCTTCTTTTATAGATATATTCGAGAAGGTCCAAGAGGTAAAACTCTTATTGGTCATTAAAGCGACACATCACCATCATTGGTTAAGTGGAACACTACCCCTTGACTGTTCCGTGCAAGTAAAGAAGAAGGATCCTAAACAACACCTGCAAAGATTGTTGTCCTTTAGCAAGGACTGTTTGGATTCTTTCTTATGATTTCTCAGGCCAGAGTGAGAAGCCTGTGAGACTTAGTTTCACACAGGCTCTGCTCCCTGCTTGCTTTTTGCATTTAGCATCAACAATACAGAATCATTTTTAAATCACTACAAATACTCAAAATGAAAGACCTTCTAAAGCACTGTACAGCCCTCTTTGCAGCAGAAGAACAGCGGTAAAGAAGACCAAGGCCCAGAGACCAGTTGTATTACATCCCAGCCTAACACCACACTTCATAACATGGTAATATACCACTTAGTATTAATTAAATAGAAGGACCTATTAACAGTCAAACTCACGGACAGGTGGGTTATATTAAAGGCTCCTTCTCTTTTTTACATTAGTAGTAGGGACACAGATGGCTTATCAGCAGGCAAATAAAATCACTACATAGCATCTTTATACATTGCAGTTAAACATTAAAAAGACAAATCAAGCATTTCTCACTCTGCTGTTTACTACTTACAGTGAGTATACATCAACTTCTCTGGATTAAGACGCAATGTTCTATCTCAGGAGAGAGAACAACTAATGAAACTGGGGAAAAAACAAGTCTCTCACAAAAACATAATGAAGCCTCAGCACTATACTATCATGAGTCATAAGGCACAGGCACACTACAGGATCTTGGAGATACCATGCCCTACTAGCTGTTGTGAAAATTCACCTTGGGAATAGTGTTACCCATGTTATTGTGTAGTCTTATAATGAACCAAACGAAAAGACAAATGGGAAGAATATAAGAAGCAAAAGGAATCAAACCATACCAGTGGCAGTAGCAAACAATGCAATTAAACATGATAACTAAAAGGTGGAAATACAGTCAGGGTATCAGGCTGCATGTGCTACATGCTGTTAGTATTTCTTAGTTTCTAATAAGCTTTGTAATAGTGTAACCAGATAAGTAAATACATAGAGAAAACAGTGAAGCAGTATCACTTATCTCAAGCTTATAATTTTATTACTGAGCTAGAACTCTTGCTACACCAATCTAATGAATATTGTGTCCTATTAGTGTCTGCGCACAATTTCAGGGGCATAAATAAAAATTACATATGCACAGATCTCACCTTATTGTATTTCTTAATATCACTGTACATTTGTATGATGCTTGTAGCATTAAGCAGTGTAGATGCTTAAAAAGATTCCACATATAAAAATAGCCCCAAGATTATCAATATAGTCATTGGTAATTCTATTAGCCTGTGACTGTGAAAATGGACTTGGGCTAAAGCAAGTATATAAATTGCTACTACATAACCATAGGAAAAACAGAGCAAAAAAATCCACAAATCATTCTTGTAATGTGCATGATTTCAGGGACAGTACCAATGGAAAATAACCAGTACTTTGTCTTGATTCAAGACTCTTTGATGAGTTTGGTGGGAGAAATGCAGCACTCAATATGAATGATCAGCAAGTCTCGTTTATTGGTAACTCTAACACCACTTATATAGCATCAATAATTAGGCTCATACATAGTGCAAAAAGTAAGCTCATTATTGGATACTTCATTTAAGGTCAACTCCACCTAATTCTACATTCCTGTGATCACTCATCTATGCTGAATTCACATTCTTCTGATCACAGCGTCCTGTTCTCAGTTAACAGTTATCACCAAGGCCTTCCTGACTTTGCAACATCTCACACCAACTGTACTCTATTGTCTAATTCTTTCCCAGCTAACTGCTGCATGGGAATATGACCTTTGCTCTCTAGCCATTCCTCTATAATTCCCCTGTTTTCTTTTTGTACTAACAAAACTGTAGAAGTAGCCTTTTTTACCATGTTTTGCAAGCATTGCAGTATGCAAGGAATAAACAATAACACAATCACAATGATCAATATAACAACAATTGCCATTTGTGCCAAATTTTTTAACCATCCTGTGAGACCTAGGGATTGAAACCATTCTTCTAAAGGATTTGTTTCTATGGTTAATTTTTTCATATTGCTCTGTAGTTGTTGAAGACGAGCATAAATAGACATTGAATGATCAGAAAGATTCATGCAACACATCCCATCAAAATCCTCACAGCCATGGCCTTGTGCCAATAGCAAAAAATCAATAGCAGCTCTATTCTGCAATACAGCATGCCTAACACTGTTCATATCCGAAAGCAAATCAGACAAAACCTTTGATGTAATATTAAACTGTTTTCCTGTCCAGCATGCCAGTCGTCGTAACTGTGTTAAGGCTTGAGCACTAGATACTCCAGGTGTAAAAATAGATGACACAATCACTGTAGGACGTTCCCAA